CTTCCAAACACGTTGCCGAGGTGTAGAAATACCTTTTGTGTTTCGCATGCCTCAAAGCATCCTGACGCTGCGACTGCAAGGGCCTTCTTAGACAAATACATCCCGCAGCAGCGAACCGACATGGATGTGCAACGTGACGCCGTTCGCCAGCACCAACAAGCCCGTTTTCGTGAAATTGTAGAGGCGAGCGAGAGGAAGAACGCCATGAGCGTCAGAGAGAAAGTTATAGGAGTAAAATGCCTCATGCATCTTGCCGCTCAGAAGAGCCTTCAACATGCCAAAATGATGAACCATCACCCAATTGTTATTCACTCCGTGCGTCACACCTGGCGGACGCTTCTTCTGCAGCTAAAAGAGTACCTTAACGATAATGGTTTCGGTGAGATCCAGGAAGAAGAAGAAGCCCAGCTTGCATTCCGCTGCCGAGGAGCCTTGGAAAATGTATCTGCTCTCGGTGTGTGGTTTGTCGGAGCCATGTCCATTCCCTTCCGTCGCTATGCCGTTCGGATTCCTACGGAGGATGGCACGCTTCAAGACTTTGTGGTGATTGGCCTTGCGTCATTCACGTACTCGTCGTACGTTATGGATGACCGCCGGCTTGCACAAGAGGCCACTCTCGCGGAGCTTGAAAGGCTCTCCAAGAGGCTCAGTGTAAACCTTCTATTTTTACCGCCCTTGCTATTGCCGGAAGAACCCCTACGGGATAACACCGTTTTCACTCAAACCAAAAATGCTTCCATGGAGATGCTGATTGCCTAAAAAACAAAAACAAAACAAAAACAAAAACAAAACAAAACAAAAAAAAGCATCAACGAAACAAACAAACAAAATAAACTAAAAGCGAGAAACAGAAAGAAAAACAACACACACACACACACACGAAAATCAACAGGCAGTAACAAAAACAAAAAATAAATAAATAAATAAATAAATATGACAGCATACACGCACACAGAGCACAATAAGGCAAGGCAACGAGAACTTAACAACAACAACAAAAAAACAAACAAACAAAAAACAAAGAATTGAAATATATACATATCTAGAAGAAAGGGAAAGGTAAAATCCCCGTGACAATGGTGCAACGCGGCTTTCCCTTTCTTTTTTTTTTTTCCTACTATTTAATTTTGAATAAGGACAATTATATCCATATAAAACATGATTTGAAGCTGCTTGATCATTTCTAAAAAAGAAAAGAAAAAGTTTGATGAATATTTATATCTTCACCAGTTCCACATTGGCCAATATGATACCCGTATAATCAGAGGCAAATTTTTCTGCGAATTTCAGGGTAACCGTGAGGGATTTTTTTTTTGTATGTGTTTGTTTGTGTGTGTGTTTTTCCCTTGATTGTGCTGCCGCCTAGGATGGTAGAAGCAATACGGAACGTCCTGCGGGGAAGGGGTTAAACGTATTAAGAAAAAAACAGAAGATTAAGGTGTGGAGTGGGGGAGGGACCCTTCATGTGCTGGTAATCACGGCGGCATAACACCCCCCTTACGTTACGTTTTGTTCGGCTGTGGCATGCGCGTGGATGCCGTACAATATTTTGTTTGTGTGCATTTATTTATTTATTTATTTTTTTTTGTTTGTTTTTTTGCGTGTGTGTCGATCTTATTTTTTTTTTTTCTTTTCTACGGATTTTCGATTTTTTTTTTTTTTGTACTTATGTTTTTTTTTTTCTTAGTTACTTGTCGTACTCCTTTTTTTTATTTCCCCTTTTTTTCTTTTTCAGTTGTTGTTGTTTTTCTCGCGGCGACTCGTCGCTTCCTTTGGACTTCACAGCGTTGTGTTTGTTGGGCGGCGGGGTGTACCCTCCACCTCCTCCCGCGTCTCCTCCTCCTTCTCCCCTCTTCATCTCGCCTTGAGGAGGGGAGGGGATAAAAAGGAGTTCTAACGAAGGACGCACACACACACACAAGCAAAAAAAAAAAAAAAAAAAAAAAAAGAAAAATTGTGTACAAAAATACATAAATACATGCATGTATGTATTATATATATGGCAGCAAATGTTTATATATATTTATTTATCTATCATTATGTATTTATTACGGCTGGCACCATTATTTGTTGTTGGGCAGTTTGCATGCACCATTCTTTTTTTTTTTTTTTTTTTTGTTTTAAAACCACGAGCCGCCCTTGACTTTTTTTACTTTTCAAACAACAACAAAAACAACAAAAAAGAATTAGACAAATAAATAACAACGCATATGCATTAACAAAACACATATGGTCGGAAAACGACAAATAGAAAACTACAGCATGTAGAATCGGCTTTCCCCCCGCTCTCATGTAGCAGTGGGAGAGGAGGGGGGAAAGAATATATATATAATATATATATTATGAGATGTGGTTGTGGGTGTCTTGCAAAATCTTCTTATTTCGGAATGGGTTTTTTTTTTTTTTTGTTTTTGTTGTATTTTCCCCTTTTTTCCTTGTTTTTATAAAAAAATTTTTTTTTTTTTCTTTTTCTTTTTGGTTTTTGGTTTTCTTTATTTTCCGGTCTACGTTGAAAATAAAGGAAGCTACATATTTATCTCCCTATCTAAATACATATATAATATATATTCTTTTTTTTTTTTTGTATAAATTCGTGTCTTATGGTTTAATTCCACATTACAAGCCTTTTTTTTTCTTTTTTTTTCTGTTTTGTTCTGCCGTTGCTTTGGTGTACAGTAACTCAGTGTCATTTTTGTTTTTCACTCCTTCCCACTTCACTCCACCTGCGTAAGTTGTACGCTATCGGACTGTTTAGTTTTAGAAGCGAGAAAAAGTATGATATTTGCCCTTTTTTTTTTCTTGTTTTTATTTTGAGTATATGTGATGTCTCCTGAAGGGGAGGAAGGCCGACCGGCATTTTTTGCCACGATCTTCATCTTCATCATCTTTTTTTTTTTTTTTTCCCATTTTTATTTCCTTTTTTTTTTTTTTTTTTTTTTTCTTCTTTTCCCCTCCTTCTCCTCCTTTGGTGTGTATGTGTGTGGAGCATGCTCTTTTATCTACCACGTGCCCATGTAGGGTTCTCTCCCCCCCCCTTTTTTTTTTTTTTTTATGGACGAGTAGCGGCATCAATTTACATGTGATTTTGTTTTTGCTTGTTACTTCGGTTTCAATATGCATTTTTGTTGCTGCAATGTTGCATTTTTGTCGTCATCACTGTTGCTACTGTGCAACGGTACTGAGAATAAATAGAATATGTATGTATATATGTATATATATATACATGTTTTTATCTGTGAACGCCCTTTTTTCCCGAGCGCCTCCCCCCTCCAACATTGTCTTTGAAAAGAGGTGTGTGTGTGTGTAGGGATTATAAATATCTTCTCGGATGGGGCGCCATGCACGTCAGCAATGGCGTGGCTGTGTGACAGTGCCGGTGACGCGTGAAGCAGGACAGAAAATGGAACAGTGAGTACTTTAAGGGAGTGGAAAGCAAAAAGAAGGAATTAGCAAGGAAAAAAAAAAAAAAAAAAAAAAAATTAGGAGGATGTCTGAGAATTGTTGGATGCTTTTTTTTTTTTTTTTTGGTTCATTTTTTTCTTTCTAAAAGGGCACGTGGGGAATTCTTCCAGGCTTTTTGTTTTTCTTATGGAATTCGTGTCTCTTGGCGCTTGATTTCACTGCGGATTTTTTTCTTTTTTTCTCTCTCTCTGTGTGTGTGTGTGTGTTTGCGTCTGGGGGAAAAAAAGCCCTTTTTTTTTTGTTTTGATTTTTTTTCCCTCACCTCAGTCGTTTACTTTTTTTTTTTTTTTTTTTTTTTTTCAAAAAGCGCCGAACGCGCACTGCCCCCATAAAATAAAGGAGTGGATCCCATGCGCAATTAATCGATGACCGTGCGGAGAGGCGGCATATTTTATATAAATGTTTTGTGTGTGGGGGGAGTGTCGGTGGGAATTAATTCCTCATTTTCTTCTGGCGGCGAGCGGTGGTCGCAGACGTAAAGAAAAAAGAAAAAAAAAAAAAAGAATGGGGGCGGGGGGAATTGCGGAGAGGCGGTGGTGGTTTTTTTTTTTTTTTTTTTTTTTTTTCTCTTTTCTTTTGTCCATTGTTATTTATCATCATTTGAATTGTTATTGTTTCTATGGTTTTTGCTGACTTGACTTGTGCCTTTGATGTTTGACGTTGCGTGTGTGTCGTTCATGTGAGTTTTTTCCTGCCGCCTGGAATTATCACCGTTGGCGTGCACACACACACACACACACACACACACACATGCATGCATGCATACATGCATCACCAAAATATGAATGGACAATAAAAATAATAAAAAGTGAAAGCATTGGCAGTATTTTATTGGATAAAAACACACACACAAAAAAAAAAAAAAAAAAGAAGTGAACGAGAATTTTAATGGGATGAAATGCCCTTTTTTTTTCTTTTCTTTTTTTTTCCTCTTCTTTTCGAGGATTTTATTTTCTACGGGGCCGTTGTCTGGTTGTATTACGCGGGTTTACTTTTTTTCCCCTTTTCCTTTAAAAAACTTTTTTTTTTTTGTTGTTTTCTGCATTTTAATTGTTTTTTTTTTTTCTCTTTTTTCCTCCTCCTTCTTTTCTTCTTTTCCTTTTTTTTTTGTTGTGTGTGTGTGGTATTGCGGTGGGTGGTGGGGTGAGAGACTGTGGTTTCGGCCCATGTAATAATTTATTCGGGGGAAAAAAAAAAAAAGAGGGAAACGCGGAGAATGCAGTTCTTTTGCAACGGCATCACAATTGCGAGCGAATGCGGGTCTTTGCCTTTGTTGGCGAATGACTTTCGCATAAAAAAGAAAAAAAACAACAAAAAAACAAATGATCCGTTAATTCAATTTTTTTTTTTTTTCGTTTACCGTTTGACTGCTGACTCCGATGGAATTTTACGAGTACATAATTTGTTGGTTGGTTTTTTTTGGTGTTTTGTGCTCTTCCGCCCTCTGCACGCATGTGGACACAGACAGAAACAGAGCCAAATGTAGGCTTTTGGAAAAATGATGTTGCTCTTTTTCCTTCTTTTTTTTCTTTTTTTATATGTATTTGAGGTGTATCTGCAACGGCGAAGGAATGAAGTCCGTGAGCTCTCTCTCGCAGTTACACAACGAGGCTGAAAAATTGTTTGGGCGGCGTCTGTTTTTCGCTGTTGATGAGGAGTTTGTTTATTCCCTGCACTGTCCTCCACCGACGGAAACACAGCGCGCAGGCGGCTCTGTTTTTTCTGTACTCTACCGTGATTTGGTGCAGCGCACATGTTTTCGTAAATCTAGCGTGTCAACGGGCATACCGCGGCTCCTGTTCTCGTATGTGGCGGAGGCCGTTCTCTCTAGCCGCGATGGAGAGTTTATGGGACCGTTGTGCTCGCCTTTGCGGAAGTCCCACACGGCGATGCTGCGCTCCAACCAGTACTTTTTGACGGAGAAGAGCGATGGCGTCCGTGCCATTTTGGTATCGTTTTGCGTGCATGCTTTTCCGTGTTGGGTATTTCGGGACGCTGAGGGTCCGAGTTGCAACATCTTACGTCTCGATGATGTGGCTGCATTGGAAGAAATGCGGCAGCAATTTTTTCAGAGTGCCACTTCACAGAGCAATTCTCGATCATTACAGATATCCATTGGTTCCTTTTATATTGAGGGCGAAGTATCAAAAACATCCAACTGCGAGATGGAAAAATTTACTTTAAAATTGTGTCCGGAATCTAATTCTGGAGCCTTCTCTAATGGGAATATTATCATGGCGGAACGAACTCTGGGTACACGACATATGGCTTATTGCTTTGATCGTTCCATGGAACAGGCGTATCTTTTATTAGAAGAATATGCGGCCCCCACACTTTCTGCGTTTGCCGTTGATGGAGAAATGATGCTTGCGTTGCGTGATTTGAAAACGAAGGAGACGAGACCAATTTACAGTTGTTTTGATGTTTTTCGGTATACTCCAATCAAGGATGCAGTTGGTACGGGTGTGTGTCTGACGCGTTGGCCGATGTCCAAACGGTATGATGTGCTGAGGGATCATATTATTGCTTCCATACACGCCTCCGAAAATTTGCGTACCCAAAAGCCGTTGTTACATGTGTTTGCCAAGGAGATGTTTCCCGTTAAAAACTTTGGCGAATGTGTTGCCCGCCTTCGTCGAGCTGATACAAGTGGAAATACAGGAGGTGTGTTGTATTACTACGATGGGCCCCATGGATGGACAGTGAGCGATGGATTCATCTTTACCCCGGAGAAGTTTGATCTTGTTCACGGGGCAAGTAAAGAACAACTCAAGTGGAAGTGGCCATCCATGCTGTCCGTGGACTGGAGTCTTGCCGCTATTGAGAGCCGCACCGATGAATATGTGGTGGATTTATTTTTTCGTAAGAGACGTTTTGGTCATCGTCCTGACAGTGTCGGCCGCTCACGTCTATCTTCTGCTATGCGTCTTTTGAATCCATTTTCGCTCCGAATACCGACAGGGAGGTCTGTTGTTGCGGAGTGTGTGTTCGATCGTCACAAGAAGAGCTGGTCAATCGAGCGTTTAAGAACGGATAAGTCTGAGCCAAATTCCGTTGTCACTGTCATTTCCGTGTTGGAGAGTCTTGTGGAGGACATCACACTGGATGTGCTGGTTGGTATGCTTGGTGTTGAGGACACCGTTTCCAATAGAGATTTAAAGTCACTACAGGAAGCCATAGATTTGGAAGAGGAGGGGAAAATTGTTTCTGCACCTGAATCACCCATTGAGAAGAAAACATGCCAGTTGACTCTTCGAGCTACGCAGTCACAAATGCAGGGTGAACATGAGATTCATCTGTACTGGACAGTTCGATTGTTGTCTGAGAAGCAACACATTCCATGCATTCACTGTAAAGTAAGCGAGTGCTCTGGTTTAGGTTTTGCATGTCCAATGGATGATGAAAGATCAAAGCTTACTGAGAACTTGTACATTGAGTTGGCGAACGCGGGGGGGAGTTACGCCTGGTCCGATTTTACGGTCAGTGCTTTATTTGACGGCGATACGGGACGGTGGAATATTGTTTCTCTTCATTCCAAAGGTGACAATCGAAAGTCCACATCTGTGGGTGTGATTGAGCATCTTCAGTGGCTTCTGGTGCATGGACGCGAAAGGGTACTGGATGTCATGCCTGTTGTGAACACGCAAAAACCACACGGTATGATGGGGGAGCCTATGGGGGAATTGGTGGAGAAGATAAACAGTCATTACGCCTGCAAGACAAGGGAGTTACTCTCTGGAAAGAATCGGAGCGTGTTGAGAAAATTTAATAATTGGGTAAAGAATGTGTTGATTGGCAATGCTGTCTCTTATGCTCAATCACGCAGTGATAAAGACTCTGAGTGTGGTGAACTTGCTGTGGCAGACGTATGTTGTGGTCGTGGTGGGGATCTCTTTAAGTGGAGGGCCCACAATCCTCGGTATTTATTTATGGTGGACTCCTGTTTAGAGGCTGTTGCGGAGGCTGCCGGACGCTATTCCGTTTCAAAGGGCTTGAGTCTGAGGATTGTGCCTCAAGACAAAAGTAGTGTTGGTGTTGTAGCGTACTTTACGGTTTGTGATGTGTTTGATGAGGCGGGTGCGTTCACGGTTAAATTGGACGAGTTTTTCAATCAACACTTGAAGGAGAGGCGCCTGGACATTGTTTCTTGTCAGTTTTCACTTCACTACGGCTGTAGCACGGAGCAACGAATGTCTTGTTTTCTCCGTGCTATTTCCAAGGCGTTGCGTCCGGGTGGTGTGTTTTTTGGTACGACGGTAAGTGATGTCGAGCTGCTTCGTCAAGTGGCTGAGCATGGACCTGTCTTTGGCAATAGTCTTTACAGCGTGAGGTTCCCTTCAGAGACTCCTCCTGACCCGTCTTTTGGGGTGCAATACTTTATTTCTGTGGAGGAAAGCGTAAGTGAACTTCCAGAGTATTTGGTGCCATGGAATCGCCTTGTCGCGTTGTGCAGTTCTGTTGGTCTTCTACCGGTGGAGTCATTGGGGTTCATGGAGTACAGTGATATGCACTACAATTCCCCCATTGGCCAGAAGTTGCGTGATGCTGTTTTGAGGGGTGGGAAGCGAGACTCGGACGGTCATGCCTTGCTGCAGCTTTCTTCAGAGGAGAGGGAGGCGGCGTCGTTATTTCGAACATTCTTTTTTGTTAAAAATCTGGTTGAAAATGAGGCATGTTTTGTGAATAATTGACAGGATTCTTTAAACTTTTTTTTT